ACGTAAATTCCCAGTCTACGCTGAGGTCCCATTTTAGTGCGTTGCAGCGGTGCAATAGGCACATAAACAGCACAACCAAAAACTCGTAAATGGGAAATGTTTGGCTGATGTCCAAACACGAGTTGTACTGAAGAGTATTGATGGTTGGCTATAGGTCTCAATCGAACCAATGATGCAGCATGTAAGATGGCATGTCCCCATGCAGAGACTGGCAATTTGGTTTTCATGAGTAGAGTGCGAGCTATTAACTGAAGCTGCTTGATCAATGCTTCTGCTAAACCATTTTGAGTATGGACATGAGGAACAGGGTGTTCAACATCAATGCCCAATGTCATGCAATAATCATCAAAGGTTTGAGACGTAAATTCACCAGCATTATCAAGTCGGATTGACTTAATGGGATAATCTGGGAACTGTGCTCTTAACTTAATTATTTGAGCAAGTAGTCTTGCAAAGGCTACATTCCGAGTAGACAAAAGACAAACATGTGACCATCGGGTAGATGCATCAACCAAAACCATAAAATATCGAAATGGCCACATGATGGTTGAATAGGCCCACAAATATCCCCTTGAATTCTTTGCAGAAATGATGGGGATTCAACATCAACCTTTAGTTGTGATGGTCTAATTACCAACTTCCCTTGAGAACAAGCTTTGCAAGGGTTATCATTTGAGGTAGCAATGTGTCTGCTCACTATGGATGTCCATTAGAGTTGGTAATGATCCTACGCATCATGGTAGATCCTGGATGACCCAGACGGTCATGCCAAAGCATGTAAACCTTTGAATCAATGAACTTCTGGTTCATGACAGTATGTGATTCAATTGTCCTTATGTATGTATAATATAATCCACTCGACATACCACGCAACTTCTCCAATATACGCTTCTGGGTATCATTGGAGGTAATGCATAGATACTCCACATTTTCTGCACTTTTTGTTTCAATGTGGTATCCATTTAGACGTATGTCTTTGAAACTCAACAAATTTCGAGTAGATCGAGTAGCATACAATGCATTATGTATGGACAATATTGTTCCATTTGGTAACATAATCTGGGCTTGCCCTGAACCTTGAATTACATCTGAAGGTCCTGATATTGTTGTTACCCCTACTCTTTTAAGTTTTAAGCTTGAGAAATACTTTCGATCACGAAGTATTGTATGTGTGGTTGCACTGTCTGCAAGACAAATATCTCCGCCATTTCTCATGTTCTGAGAATAACCACAATTTTTATCCATGCTCTCTGAGTAAGAGAATCAGAGTTTAAAGCAAGTTATAACAAGAAATTTACATGCCACTTTTATTGAATATGAAAATACTACAAGTTCAGCATAATAAAAGTACATTAATGATTCAATCGGATCGGTATATTTCATTTCCCCTTTCCACAATATAGTCTGAAACATCTAGATGAGTTGTGTTCAACTGCCCTGATAAGTCAAACACTGGATCAGGTATATCCATTGGTCTAGCCTGGTCGAGAAAGTTAGTCTCGACACCCTTCTCCTTGAGGGAGGCTTGATACAGATCCACTAGATGTTTTGGGGTATGACAAGTACACGCCCAATGCCCATTGCCACCACACCTATGGCAGGCTCCTTCAGAGTTTCTAGGAGCATTGTTCATATGAGCTTTGCCTTTGTGGCGATTCACTTTTTTGAAGCTCGGGCCTGAATTATTCATGGGAACCTGGTTATGAAACTGAACTCTATGGTTCTTGCCTTTCCTATTCCATCGACCTCGCTTGTGGCCACGTCCTCATTTATGATTATCACCACCAGAGGATGTGGCGTTCACTCCGAGGGAAGCAGCATTCACTTCTGGGAATGGTGCAGATCCAGTAGGTCGGGAATGATGGTTTTTCATCAGGAGCTCATCATTCTGTTCAGCTACTAAGAGCACAGATATCAGCTGGTTGTACTCAGTGTAGCCTCACGCTCTATACTGCTGCTGCAGGAGCACGTTGGAGGCATGAAATGTGCTGAGAGTCTTTTCCAGCATATGCTCCTCAGTAATAATATCCCCACAGAGCTTCATCTGAGAGGTAATTCTGAACAATGCAGAATTGTATTCTGCCACTGACTTGAAGTCTTGAATCCTCAGATGAGTCCACTCATAGCGGGCCCTTGGAAGAATCACCGTTGTCTGGTGATTGTATCTGCTTCTCAAGGCATTCCAGAGAGCTAACGGATCTTCAACCGTTAAGTACTCGCTCTTTAGCGCCTCATCAAGATGGCGGCGAATGAAAATCATGGCCTTTGCCCGATCTTGAGAGGATGAGTTGCTCTCTTCCCTGATGGTATCTCCAAGATTCCCTGCTTCCAGATGGATCTTGGTATCCAGTACCCAGGTCAGGTAATTCTTCCCGGTAATATCCAGGGCAGCAAATTCAAGCTTCGCCAAGTTCGCCATTTTATTTTCTGAAAGAAAATGGGATGTGTAAGAACTTGCAATAATATGTATTCTTGGAGGAATATGATGTTAGAACTTCTGGTTCTTACAAATTTTTCATTTTGATCTTCAGGCCAAAATGATAAGCACTCGAAACTTCTGGCTCGAGATTTTCAGGGTGAATGAGGAGGGCGATTGTACCGCACCATTCTCATTGAAATAATGTAATATAGAATGGGCGATTATTCCGCACCACTCAAGTAACAGGAAATTTAAATATGCAGAGCAGCGTGGGCGATTATACCGCACCACATAAAATTGCAATGAAATTAAATCTGCAGTCCAAGATAGGCGATGATACCGCACTGTCTTGGATCGCAGTAAGATTAAATTTGCAGTTCAAAATGGGCGATTGTACCGCACCATCTTGGATTGCAGTAGAATTAACACAAATAAATACTGGGTTAGTAATCAATCTCTACACCAAACAAGTAATCAAAGATGTATGTAACCGTTAGTTGGAGAACTAAAAGCAAGCATGGAGCAAACAACTCGTCGCGAGGGTACACGGCGCAGTTGAGGCAGAGGAAGAAGATGAACATTAAAAACCTTAAAGGAAACATTTTTTTTTCTCTCTTTCGTTCGTTCGGCGAAGAGAGATGAGAGAATAATTATATTTAGAGACTCGTGCTGATAACGTGTTATAAAAGGGTTAAAGTTTGAGAGATAACCTTTTAAGTGGTAGGTGCAAGGTAGATGTAAAATGCCACACAAAAACTATAGCACAGGCATATAATAAAAGGCAGAGGAATAGATGATGTTACTGATATTTCTCTCTTGTTTTTCTTCTTCATATATTTTCTGTTACATGCGGAGTGCTCTATTTATAGAGCAACTCCGAACTGATGCAGTTAATGCATCTTGAAATTTAAAACGCATCCTCTGACACTTTCATTCAGCATGGGCATTGAAAACTTTGCCCATGCAGAAGACTTTTGCTTTGTGGGCATTCATTGCCAACAGACATTGAGACTGTGTCTGAGACTTTTCAACATATTCTAATTTTTTAGTTTTGCCTTCTTCCAAATTGAAGAAATCCATGAACGTTCTTCAATTTTTCTTTTTCTTTTGGCTGTAAAAACTATTAGGGCTTTAAAAGTCATTTTACATGAGGTCAAACATGTCATTAACTTTTTTATTTTTTTTCTTAAATTAATTTTCTAAGAGTAATCGAAATCATAAATAAACAAAAACATTTTAAAGGATTGTGGTAATTAAAAATCGGGTACTATGTGGATTTAGTTCTTGAATTATTATCCGAGTGGAAATTAGGTTTGTAAATTATTTTTTATTCTATTTAATTTTCATTAATTTGAGTGATGTGACTTGCATATAATGTGTGTTGCATGATATATTGTAATTTTTTTTTTCATGATTATATGAATTTATTTGAGAGCTACTGGACCTACTGACACACCCCAACCGAAGTCGAGGCATGCTAGCTGTCATCCGAAGGTGACGTAACCAAAAGTGTGAGTGATGTAAAAATGTGAATAAATTAAAACTAAAATTAAAACTTATTTAAACTAATAAAATGAGTGAGCAGTATTGGGTAAAACCCATAGAATACAAATATTCAGAGTATAACTAACAAAAGATTGCAATTGTAACTAGTTATAATGCTTAATACACAACCAAGAAAGGCTCCCTACATTTATTTAGTTATGTCAGAATCCGCCGGAGTTTCCTCATATGCCACAGAGAATTTAGCTATCTAAGACATGGAGGGGCTAAAAACAGAAGGGTAAGTGGGCACAAAAACAAAGGTTCATAAAACATATTTACTAACCGCTTGCTGTAAATCGTATATAGTTTCTAGAAAATCATACTACGTATAAGTATGAAAACAACTATAAATAACAATGATGCTAGAAATACGCCAAACTAGAATATCACAACAATAGCATAACAAAAACAAGTTGCTCATCAATCTACGCTAGCACACGAGTTCACGTAGATAGTTTCTGACATGAATAGGACTGTGTTGTAATGTAGAAGTACGTTCTAGTGCTACAATCGCGTGAAGACTAGTGATAATCGTGGACACCTACAAGTCGGAGTTGCCTAATGCAACCTATACAACAGGACTGGCACCTACTTGGATCTAAGGCTAGCGTGTGGTGCAGAGGTGAACATACACGTGAAAAACTAGCTTTGGCCCCGGGCGAGCACCAATACCAGGGTGCATCAATGATGAGCAGACTACATACATAAATATAAACATACCATAACCATTCAATAATTCTAGTCAACATAATAAACGTACATGTGCATCTTGTAGGATTATTTTGGCATTTCACAGCAATATAACATTTCTTATAACACGTTTAATCATGGCATAATAGGCGTAATATCAATCTAAAAACAACAGTGGCATAATATACATAAATCAATTCAAAAACATTAGTGGCAACTATAAAGTTTACACACACACACACACACACACACACACACACACACATATATATAAGGAAACAAAATGCCCACTCACTGATACGTGGTTGGATCATAGCCTCCTAGCCTCGCTTGACCTCGTACGTCATCGAGATAATTTTCACTATATATGTGAAATAACTAAACTAATAAATTAAATAGGACATATTCAAAAAAGCTAGGTAAATCTCCCATACTTTGCTCAAACGGAAGGTTTGAATATATGAAAATGATCTACACGAGGACACCGACATGCACATGTCAACCACTCACATGCCGGTGGTCGGAGGCTCCCTCACGTGCCCCTACGTGTAGGTCAGTGACTAACAGACGTCAGGAATATTCCGTCTTGACGGAATATTCCGCTAAACAATTAACAGAGTTTAACGGCGTTAACTGACATTGTTAGAATATTCCGTCAACTTTGACGGAATATTCGTCGTCTTCTCCATGGACGTTCGTCGGTCGCCATTGTCCGCTTTTGCCAGGAACTAGAAGACTTTGTCGGTTTCTGGGAAAAAATTCAAACCTTTAAAACTTGCTCATTTCTCAACCATTTTTAACAAAATTTATATGGATTTGAAGCTCTTGAGGAGTAGAACATTTCTATACCTTTTGGAAGTCCAAAAATAGACCGGAAATGGCCTGAAAATCCCTCGAAAGTCTTGGCCTAAAACTCGACTCCTCGAACTCGCTTGCTTCGATGTCAAATCAACTCCAAACTTATTCTAGGGACCCTAGGGAGTTGTGTAGAAGCTTCCCCATGTCCTAAAACCTTGTAACTCGTTGGAGGAAAACTCACCGAGTCGGACCTTCCAAGTTGACGGGTCAAAACTTGTCCATTTCATGATCGGTTGGTATGGCTGGATTCGTGATGATGAGAGGAACACGTAAAGGTGATTTAGAGCTTGATTTGTGAAGTTGTGACATCATTCTAGAGGGTTGCAAGGAAAGGGAGAGTTTGGGTGAGAGAGGAAGAGAAGAGAGAGAGAGTGAAACAACAGTCTTTGATTGGGGGAGAGGTGTAAGGAGTGGGTTCTTTGATTGGTGAGGGATTATGGAGATATGTTGATTGGTGAAGAGTAAAATGAGGGAAAAGGATTGGTTGTTAGTGAAATGGGGGACACAGGTCCAATTTAAAAAGAAGAGAGGATAGGGTTTTTTAGATTTGCACCATAAAAGTACTAAGAAAATCTATCCCCTTATCAAAACACAGTGTTTCCCACACTGAATAATTAACGCGCACGCGTGTAGAAATTTACCTATTGTTAACACACTTTAACATAATGTAACTTTTTTTGTTATTTGAGCCTAAATCGCACTCACGTGTTCGTGATAACGAGTGATATTTAATTATGCTACTAGGAAACATAAAATAAACGTGGAATAATACATCCAAGTCACTTTGCCAATAAGGGTAGAAATGTCAATTTACACGCTTGAGAAAAATTACATAGAAATTAATAGACGGGTCGTCACACCTACCCCATAACCTATTTTCCTACCCAATTTTAAATTTAATGACATAATTAGAATTTTGTTTGTATGTAATTTTTATAAATGATATTATCTACACTAGAGGAGGATCAGTTTAACCTCAAAATGGGCTAATAATAATCTGATTCAAATTTTTTATTAACAAAAATCGACCTAAAACTTTTCATTTACATGTGAAAGTGAAATATTACTAAACCGACTGTTATTTATTTGTAATTTTTGCTATTGACAAATAATAGATATTTACTTTAAAGCTCATGGGCCATACCACAGTTGGACATAAGGAGCCAATAGAAAGAAATGGACTTTAAGAGGCACATGGATCACTTGTCAATTTTGTCTTCTGGAGAAATCTGGACACCTGCAGAAAGTAACAAACCCCTCTCTCTCTCTCTCTCTCTCTCTCTCTCTCTCTCTCTCTCTCTCTTCTTTTTACAGAGGGACAAGGACAATCCTTGTCCTTTACAGAGACTCTTTGAGGTTGTCTCTGCAAATCAAATAAAAAAAATCAAATAAAACCTCAACAATCGCACAATTTAACAAAAACCCAAATCTCCGTTTCCTCAGAATCTGAAAACAGAGTTGCAGAAATCTCTCACATGGAGGACTACTTCGTCTCAGACGGAATGCTGATGAAAACGATGAAGAAGAAGAGGAAGGAGGTGGTGGAGCTTGACCAAGTCAACGAATACTTCTCCGACTTCTCTCTCTCTTCTCCTGCCAGAAAGATTCGCCGTCTGGTATGCTAAAACCCCATCTTTTTCTTCGCTTTCTTCCCTTTAAATTTCGATGAGTTTTCAAATTTTCTGATTCAATGCGTTGGTATGTGTGAAAATTTGGTAATTTAGGATGCGCATTTGCCGCCCATCATGGAGGAGGAGGACGCTGATTTTGCGGCGGCTCCGAATCAGGTGGAGTCGGCTGCTCCAATTATTGAGGAATTGCCGTCAGAAAACAATGAGAAGGCCATTGTGCTCTTCAAGCCCGTCATTTCCCCTCCTTTTTTCTCTTTACCTTCCGAATTGATCTGCGGCTTCAAGGGTACGCATTTCGACTACCCATTTGGATTTCCTGACGATTTCCGTCTCGAAATTTCTGTAATTTGATGGTTTATTGGTTTTCTGCAGACCAATTTCCGCGCTCCGGCCATTACGGTCCGAGACAATCAGCCGCGGGAGATGATGAGGCGGTGCAAAACAGCGAAAATCAATGTAAAGCTGTTGTTCCATGGGTTTATAGTAAGCTTCAGCCTAGGCCATCGATGGAGGTTTCGCAATCTGAGGCCCCGGAGGAGCTGATGGAGGCTGAGGAGATGGGAACAGCAACAATGGAGATTGAAGAAGAGAGCAGAGAAGGAAAAGGGATGGCTAACGGGTGCGGCGGAGGAATGTGGACGAGTAATGAAGGGTTTCCTCAGTGGCCGCAGCAGCATTGTATGATTCCACAACCTCCACAAAACACCACCACGCCCATCACTTGGTTCCGATGAGACCGAAAGGCGGTAGGGTTTTTCGGGTTGGAAATCGAGTGGTGCCTCGTTCTTTTTTCAGCATTTCGACTATGTTGTATCATATATTTGGAAAGAGCAGAAGCAGAAAGTCGTGTTAATGTTAATAGCAGCAGAGCAGTGTGGGAATTTGTCGAAGAATGATGTATGTTAATTATGATTTTAATGATATCCAACTCCTAGAGGTTATTATTTTGATTTGGAGTTTCGTTTCACTTCAGAATCTTAAAGACACCTCAACGCAATTTGATACAAGTGAAAACGTTCCTAACCGGAGAGCCGTGCATTGTAAGTGATCTGAATCCGCCCGGAGTGAGCCTCTCATAGAGACGAGTCAAGTTGGTGAGCCGTATGATGGGCAACTATCTCCTGCGGTTCGGAGAGGACACAAGCCCTTGGGCGAAAATTCTCCCTTGTTGGGGTGGGGTGAGTTCGAGCACGGGGCCTTGGGTGAAGGCGTAAACCTACCTTACTGGGTGGTTGGGATAAGGTGAATTCGAACATAGGACCTCATTGAGTTGAGGTTGGGTGAAGGCGTAGACGCTCCCTTATTGGGATTAGAGTGAATTCTAACGCGGGACCCTAAGCGAAAGCATAAACAACAATCTCCTTTAGTAACAGTTCAATTCAGCTTGCGGTTTTGTAATTAGGCAACTAAACCAGCTGAAAGATGGATTAACAAACCAAGAGGGAAGATACAAAAGTCAATGAGTATTTGATCTAGCGACAATCAGTCTTTCACTTGTTGGACGGGTGTTGTAGTAAAGAAGAAAGGTAATGCAGCATAACCTAATGAATCAAAACAATGAGAAGAATGGCATAAATGGGGACAAGTGTAAACACCCAAATAAATTTTGATCATAAATATGCACAAGGGGGTTTGACGAGGTTAAAATATTACTCAGATTCTCATCTCTATTCTAACAGAGATACACTGAAATGGGAAAAAAAGAAAGAAGAAAAGGAAATGCTCTACATAAGTCTGTTGAGGGTATCCTTCCATGTCCTTCCCTTCAATTCTCTTCTTGTCCTAGCAAAATGGCGTTTTTCTATAGCCTCAACAACACGCAGCTCTTCAATGAGCACCGGTCAACTTTACTATATATTCCATACGGGCTAGTCTCCCGAGACATAAGTCTTCTGTGCATAGTATTTCTTTTCGCTCTCGTTCTTTTTGGCATTGCGTTTCTGCATCAAAGACAACAGAGGAATGACTTTATCAGCACTCTAAACAGCAGAAATTTTGCTACAATATCTTCATTTAGTTTTACGAACATCCAATGTGAAAATTATGGTTGCGATATGTGGAAGAATCGCTCAACGAATGATGCTTGTACAAGAGTTATCAAATATGGTTTTAAATCTCTTGACAATGGTAGTGCACATAAGCCAAAAGGCAGACAAGGATTTTAAAATTACCAAGTAAGCATCATGATTTGCAATTATCCTCTGGGATACTGATGTTGTTGTTATACTTTTAGGGCTTTCAAGCAATTTGAAAATCCCCATGCTCTTGGGAACAGAATAAGGATCGCTTTCGCCCTGCACAGTATAAATCATCCCATTCAATTAGTCAATTCTCAGCTTGCATAGACAAAAGTTTACAGTGATCAAATTTGAAGAAAAATCCATCAACTTACAGTTAACGAGAAGTTGTACTCGGAAACTGTCCCATGCACAACCGATGAAATGTTGAAAGTTGTTATCTGTCAATGCAAGAATATAGATCTCAGATACAGTGATCAACACATCTAATTTCAGACTGCATCAGAAGGATTACATTATTCTTAACAAATTCAAGTTAGTCAAGGATGTGTACGAGAAAATGTCCAATTTACTGTCTGAATCATTTTAATCTGGGAACAGGCATTCTTCCAATTGCTTACCTTACGTATGTATGATAAAACTTATTGATATATCACACACATGCCAGCATGTATTGGATCCATGGCCTCCACCACACATGTACGGTATGCTAATCTAAATTAATGAATACAAGTGGCAAGCATGTCATGAATCTATGCACATTCCCAAGCAGCAATAAAGTTGGAAAATTTATTGTTCAAGGTAGAAACATAACTAATATGATGACATTTACATATTATAATCCCATTCAAGGCCAGGAAGAAACATCATGAACATGTTGACTGAAGAAACTGTACATAAAACCAAGAGAAGACGCGGCCTCTGAAGAATGAAAACAGTCGCTCATGGTTGTACATACAAATACAATGACTTGGTGTAAAAAGCAAAAGAAAGATATATGCATTTACTCACCATGTCCACGGTAACTTCCCAGGGAGCACCAATGATGACTTCATCAACATAACGGCAACCCAATACACTAAGACTACGTTCGTGCAAATGCATAATTGGATACTTCCCTCTGTGTTCACTGCATTTAACCAAATTTTATTATTTTAGTTACAGGTTTACTTTTGTTGACTAACAACGAATGAATAGATCTCAAATCAAGAACACAGAATTACCTGACAGTCTCATCATTGTGGATGCCCACTAGTAGAAAGTCTCCGAGCTGCCTAGCATTCTTCAGAATCTGAGCAAGCAACCAAAAAAGAGAAACAGCTTTCATATGATAAAATGATGAGAAAAAATTTGATAACTGTTCATACAGAAAGGGGGATGCTGCATTGAATCTCCACAGCATAGAATTGCCAAAAGGGAGGGGTGTGAACATAACATGGCAACATTCAGTTGTTTACATACAAGCATACTGTTCAAGTGTTGCCAGAAGGTCAAACCTTAACCCAAGGCTTCATAGATAGCCTTACAACTAATGGTTAGCAGAGAACTGTCACAATTCACAACTTCATTTCGTAAATTAATGCAATGGTAGGATCCATTTCACTCTTAAAGTGATGGAACTAACGCATGATTCGTGGTGAGTATACCAGACTAAATATACGAATGAGTCATGCTGGAGTACATTATGATAAAGGGCTATATGGAAGGCTATTTAGAAATTACTCCAAGTTTATATTGAAGATAGAAAACATCTAGGAAGATGTAGAATACTGCCATTTCTAGATGCACCTCAAACTTTGTAATACAAAATAGGTAAATGCACAACAAAGATCCAACTTAAACCATCATAAAAATTAAGACGTTTACAGAAGTAATTCAAAGATAATAATTATACCTCAACATGTCCTGCATGAAAGAGATCAAATGCCCCATCAATGTACACAACACGAGCATTTGGTCCAGGTCCCTGAGAATATGAAACGTGTTATGGAGGATAAAAAAACAATATGCATAAAAAAGAAACAAAAAACAAATTTTCCACCACCTCCATATGTTGTCGCTGCACATTAAAATAGATATGAAATAAATGAAACGTCAATACTGAGTTACTCACACTCCCACGGATTGGTTGATGCTTTGGTCTTTATGTAAATTAGTAAAGAATCAATGAAGGACTGTGTTATCCACTAAATGTGGATTACTTTTGTTTTTTCCGTTCTTGTCATTTCAACAGAGTCATAACTATTTCACATTGTGACTTCTTGATCTTTACATGTACCATAAAACAGGTCCATTTGTTCACTTCCAAAGATATTTATTCTCACATGTAACTAGATGCACTTGAGCCAAGATCCCAGAAAGGAGTTTAGTCTAATGTAAGAAATACTTATGACTTACAAGAACAAAAATACAAAAAGTAAAATTTAAAAGTGCCAATATAGCAAGTGAGGCACACCTTTCCATTAGAGAATTGCACAATACGCCGGGATGTTGGTAGAAATTGAGATAAACTGGCACTCTTGGGTTGACTTTCTGGGGTTTTATGCAAGGATGTCTCAGTTTGATTTTCACCATCATTTGTATCCTTTAAAGAAGAAAGTATCCTCCCTACACATGATTATTATTAGACCAATTGAAAACAAGAAAACAATTTCAGTATACAACATTTTAACTATCTAGGCAGCTCATTGATCAAATCTCTTCACTTCTAGCAAGCTTGACCACAAAAAAAGTCACGAAGTGGAATTGCATAATAAGTACTGAGTCATTTTAAACAAAAGGAGGAACCTCTGAGGGAGATGAAGAGAATCATAGTACCTACAATATCTGTGCTGGAGACACCTTCAGTGCGTTTAATCTGCTTGTAGCGGCCAGCTTTTTTCGCCAAGGCGTAAGCATCAGTTCCATCTGGCAGCAGGCAAGGATCATCACCATGTATGATATAGTCAATCTTATGCTCACTGAAGAGCTTGCCCATGAATTGCTCAGTAATTTCATAAGGAGCATTCGTTATGACTTGATCCACCCACTTCAAACCACTCACGAGAGCCAATCTAGAAAGAAACTTCAAATTAGATAGAAATAAGTAGGTACATAATATACATTGATCTTATCAAATTTTAACAAAGGCCACATAAAGTATGCACCAGGAGATTATACAACGTTTGCAAGAGATTCTATCGGAACAATAAAAGGTACAAGTGGACCAAACAGTGCATTCTAATTCTAAGGACTGCCGAATAACACTATTAGGGAAGCTAACTCTGCAAACTATGCAAATAACGTACTTATATGCATGTATAAGATATAACAACATATTCTATAACTTAAGTTGGTATGTAAGTAACAAAGGTGCAACTCGAACTCAGGTAGGAATGTTTTCGGCATTCAAACATAAAAGCGTGTTCTTGAGAAATGAGTATGTTAACATGACTAATTATGTTCATAAACACTAACCTCTCTTCCATGGATAAAACAGGTGGACCTTTATTGGCAATAATCTCCTCATCGCTAACAACGCCCACCACCAACTCATCTCCCAAAGCCTTGGCTTGCCTCAAGGCATTGGCATGGCCATAATGCATGAGATCAAAGCAACCATCCATGTAAACCCGAATGTGCTTCCTATCACATTTCTTCTTATGAAAGATCCCTGAATCTGACCATAAATACGGCAACTGGGGCACCGTAATTCCACCAAAATAGCTCGTGGACAAGCCGAGCAAGGCGGCCGTGAGCATTAGACCGCCAAATACATGTGGGTGGTTGTACATTCCATCCCAAATCCAGTTGTTAGTTTCATATTCCATGGTGGCACCCTTTTCTTCTTGCCTTATAATCTCCTTTGATCTCTTTGCTTAGCAGGAGGAGACACAAAACCTGAAGCCACAATAGCAAAAAGCTAATCAGAAATCAACATAGCTTTTATTACTTTAAATTAGATTTAAACACCACGAAAACTAAAGAAAAAAGGATGAAAATACTAAACAAATCTAGAGCTTAAAAATACCAAATTGCACCAAAATGTAAGAAAAAAATTCAGATGTTAAAAGAGACTTTTGGAACTGGATTAAAGGTCAATTGTGTAGGGATGCAAAATGATGCCAAATATTCGATAGAATTATTGAGCAAATTCAAATTACGAAATTTATTTCTGAACCTAAACCAGAAACCCACCTGAAATTCACCAAGAATACAAAAAGTTAAAAATAGCTGTGCATTAACGGATAGAGAGAAAATGGGAAGAAAAGCATGGAACTGAAAATTCCAGAAGAAAAAAAAAGTGATAAAATTCAAGAAATGAGCATTAATCATGGTGACCCAGATCTAGAAAACTGGTTTTTAACCCAGAAAATTGGAAAAGTTTTTACCTTTTTGTGATCGAGCTTTGTGTCTCCTCTCCTCTTCTGCTTTCTCTCCCTCCTGGTTTTTTTGGTGATTTGAAGAAATTGCAATGGGAAAGAAACAAAGAAAACAAGACAAGCAAGCCTTCCCCTTCCCCTTCCCACAAGTTTTTTCTTTTTTTTTTTTTTTTTTATCTGACGACAAGGCTCTCTCTCCGTCTTTTTCATTTTATTTGGTCAAAGTTCCCACTTTTTCTATTACTGAACGAATCAAATGAAATGCCTACCCTGTGGGACGGGTCCCATTATACTGAAGCACTACGTCAGCCGTCAAGCTTCCGTTCAAAATTTTGAACGTGTCATGTCTTGTATAGATTCGCGTGTTCACGTCGTTTTCATTTAATATATGTTATCTTAACAAATTAGGTGGTATTGTATCCTACCTCTTATTTTAACGGGTTTTTAACAAATCATGTCACTTTGCTCTTTAAAATTAACAAGTAAAATAACCAGACCTGTTAAGGCCCTTTAATTAAAGAGAAAATTAAAATTAACGGGTCGTGTCATGCTTTGTTCTTCATTACTGTAGTTATTGTTGTTAATGCTTATTTTTCATTCTTTATTTTTGTTTCTAAAAATTCAAGTATGATTGAATTGAAATGTACCGTTCTTCTTTAAAAATAAACATTGACATGTACTTACACAAGTTATTTTTAAATTAAAATGTACCTATGCTAAATTAAAACGTATTTATACCAAATTACAATGTGTGCTTACTAAATTGAAATGTACCCATATTGACTTGAAACGTACAAAAAAGTTTTAGAGTTACAAATAACTTGCCCGTTAGCTTTTTACATAATAAAATTATGATAATATAAAAACGTATTAATAACTTGGTACGTATCTAAACAAAAATAAATACCATATCAAAATACTCATTTGTGCTCAAATTTGAATCTAGCTTTTCATTCATTTTCTCACCAACTAAACCATGGGTAATTTATTTGACCAACCAAATACCGGGGTGATATTCTTAGCTGCCTGGACCAGGTGGTAACTGAAGCAATGAATGCAACACTTTGTAGTCCCATATCTAATTTGGAGATTAAGGAAGCAATGTTCAACATGGGTGGGTCAAAGGCGCCTAGGCCTGATGGCTTCTAAGGCATTTTCTATCAATCTTTTTGGGATATTATTGCAACTAAGGTCCATGGTATTGTGGCAGAGTGTCTAGGGGGGAGGGCTGCCCTTCCCATATTAACTCCACCAACATTGCTCTGATTCCGAAGGTCTCCAACCCGAAAGCTGTTAGTCAATTTAGACCTATTAGTCTTTGTAATTATTCATATAAGGTCCTGTGAAAAATTTTGGCGAATCGTTTGAAGCCTTTGTTGGATGATATTATTTCGTCAAGTCACAATGCTTTCATCAAGGGTAGGCAAATCTAGGACAATATCATCTTGGCCCATGAAATTTTCCACTTTTTAAAGTTAAGAAAGACAAAGACTAATTTCGAGATGGGGGTTAAACTTGATATGAATAAGGCATATGATTGGGTGGAGTGGGATTTCTTGGAGGCCATAATGGAGCATCTTGGTTTCTAGCGCAGATGGATAAATATGGTGATGCGCTGTGTGAAGATTGTGGAGTTCTTAATTCTTATTAATGGGAGGCCAGGGTGTGTTTTTAAACCCACTAGGGGTCTTCAGCATGGGGACCCACTCTCCCTTTACTTATTCCTCATCATCATTGATGTTCTCTCCTTGGTGATTAATCGAGTAGTTCAACGAGGTTATTTGGAGGGCATTCAGATTTTGGCTTCGGGGCCAGTGCTTGCACATCTTTTGTTTGCGGATGATACCTTTACTTTTCTTAAGGCTTCCGAGCAAAATTGTAGGAACTTATCCACTCTTCTCCAGGTGTATAGCAGAGCTTCTAGTCAACAAGTTAGCTACTAAAACTCGATTGTATATTTTGGAGCTAATATCTTGGCCCACTTGGCGTAGGAGCTTTGTAATATCTTAGATATGCCTAACGTGGAGAACCCGGGTAAATACCTAGGTATTCCCACAATTTGGGGAAGGTCGAAGCGAATGGCTTTACAGTATATCAAGGACCAGGTTTTAGATAAAATTTCAGGGTGGAAGAGACGGTTCCTATCCCAGGCAGGGAAGGAAGTCCTCATTAAAGCAGTGGGTTAGGCTATTCCTATGTACCCCATGTGTGTTTTTCGGCTCTCGGAAGGTCTTTGTAAGGATATTGATGCAGCTGTGGCGAGGTTTTGGTGGGCAGGAGCTGATAAGGATCGTGGGTTACACGAGATCAATTGGAAGGACATGGGGCGGCCAAAGAGGGAGAGAGGTATGGGATTTCGTAACTTTAAAGATTTTAACCTTACTTTGCTTGCCAAACAATGCTGGCACTTGATCCATGATCCTGATTAGTTATGGGCGCGGGTTTTGAAAGGGAGGTACTTCCTAGATGTTCTGTTCCTAGAGGCTAAAAAAGGTAGTCGAGCCTCGTGGGCGTGGGCGAGTCTTTTAGAAGGCGAGATATTGTTCTAAAGAGCATTAGGTGGCAGATTATGGGAGGTCAACATGTTAGATTTTGGATGGATAATTTACCTGCAGGGCATCCCATCCCTCCCTTTGCTCGCGGAAACTAGTGGTGACTATAGGGTTGCGAAGCTCATTGATCCAGTTTCAAGGGAGTGGAATTTGGATTTGCTTTTAGATCTTGTCCAAGAAACGGTATGTAAGGTTATCTCTCAGATTCATGTGGGACCCTTCTTAATCTCGAATAAACTTGTCTGTCATTTTGAAAGACAAGGTTCTTATACTGTTAAATCAGGCTATAGGTGGTGTCAAAATCGTCTACCCCAACAAAACCTTGATCACCCGTCCTCTTCCCGAAGTACTGACCCCCGGGTGTGGGCTTAGATTTGGGGTAGCAAAGCGCCACCAAAAATGATGAACTTCCTTTAGAGGGCGCTCCGGAACGCTTGTGCCACCAAGCTTAATTTGTTCCGGCGTTGATGTACCGTGTCCCCGATTTGTCCCATTTGTGCTTAAAGTAAGGAGTTTACGGAGCACGTGCTCATTCTGTGTTCGTGGGCTACCAAGGTGTGGTGGGGGGGGGGTTCTTCTTCGATTGAAAAATTATTTGAAGCTCTATCTCTACCTTGGCTGATTGGTTGTGCTTGGTTGTCAATCAATGTTTGGGTTGTAAGGAGAATTTTGACCATATTTTGGCTCATGTGATCTTCTCATGTTGGTTCATTTGGAGGGCATGATGTGATGCTGTTTTTAATCCTTCTCCCTTTAGAACTTTGCGTTCTATAGCCACTGCCTTGGTTTCCTTTCAAGAGGCTTCTACTCCTCGAAGTTTGATGACTTCTATTAGCACTGGGCACTCTAGAGGTATGCTTCATCTTCCTCAGTGGTCTCATTCCCCTGTTAATTGGGTTAAGTTTTAAGTTTAATGTTGATACATGTTGGAAGCGGGACTCTTTGTGTGGGCAGATTGGGGTTGTGGCTAGAGATTGGAACTCGGGATGCAAATCGGTGCAATGTGTGAGGGTGCATGCTTCCACGGCTGTGGAGGTGGAGGCGTTAGCGGTACTGGAAGGGTGCTTACTGGCAAAAAACTTACAGGTGTAGGAGGTGGTAATTGAATCCGATACTCAGACTATTATTCAATATCTTAATTCCCTTTCTATGAGTTGTGATTGGGAACTGCTCCCAATCCTGTCTCGTACTTTGGAGGTCGGGATAAGTTTTCAATCATGCTCTTGGTCGTGGTCTCCACGATCGGCAAATATGGTGGCGAATTTTGTCACGAGAAACTTGTCACCGGAGATGTGCGGCTTAGGTTGGGTGGTGACACCTCCATCTTCGTTTGTGAGTATTTTGAACAAAGATGGTCTGCCATGTCTGTAGACATCAAAATTTCGGTGAAATGAACGTTGACCAATAATTAAAATTTCAACGCTCACGTGTCACATAAATTTTACATGTAGCGTGTGACTCAACGAAAAATCAAAATAAATTGGAAAAGTCATCAAATATGACACATGTCAATACCTGGCAGAAATGATTTATTTCATCTGATTATTTAAATCCAAAAATCAAGTTTTGGAATTCTATAAATAGGAAGCCAAGGCATTCATTTTGGGGGGGGGAAGAAAGAAGGAAAAAAAGGGAGAAAGGAAGGGAAATTGATATCACACCAAAACCTTGAAGCTTTGAAACTCTAAAGCTCTCAAGCAAATCCCGAAGGATCAAAAAAAACTCTCTTCGTTCTTCGTTAAGTCTTCCTTCAAGATCAAGCCCCGACGGCCTTTGAAGAAATCCGCACAACCATTCTTCAAGATCAAGCCCCAACGGCCCTTGAAGAACTTCCACCAACTCAAGATCAAGCCCCGACGGCCCCTTGAAGAAAGTGTTCATCGTTCATCATCCGTTCATCTTAAGATCAAGCCCCAACGGCCCTCTGGATCAACAACCTCAACAAATCCACATATCCAATCGTTCTTCAAGATCAAGCCCAAAAGCCCTTGAAGATCCGCTCATCCACCAACCTTCAAGATCAAGCCCAAAAGCCCTTGAAGATCCGCTCATCCACCAACCTTCAAGATCAAGCCCCAACGGCCCTTGAAGAACTTCCACCAACTCAAGATCAAGCCCCGACGGCCCCTTGAAGAAAGTGTTCATCATTCATCATCCGTTCATCCTAAGATCAAGCCCCAACGGCCCTTTGGATCAACAACCTCAACAAACTCATACACCCATTCTTCAAGATCAAGCCCAACGCCCCTTGAAGATCCATTCATCAACTGTTCATCCTTAGATCAAACCCCGACGGCCCTTTGGATCAACAACTCATCCACAAACCAACATCCTATGAAGACAGAATCAGAGGATCAAATTACAAAGAGATTGTAACCCCAAAATCATTAATACAAAAATATATTTTGTACACGTATTCTTGTTTCTTGTTTCAGGAATTTTTCGTGTTTACAAATTTGGCACGCTCGGTGGGACAATCTCTACCTCTCATCTCTATCCTCAAATCATCGAAAAACGCAAATGGCATCAAGAAAGGATCAAGTTGTTCCTGCAATTAAAGCAAAGAACAAGAACATCATCGCTGCAAGTGGTGATATTTCGGGCATCATAACCCGAAGTAAGGCAAGA